AAAACCATGGAGTGTGAAATGGTATGTAAATAGAGACTTCATATTATACTGTAGCACAGAAAAAAATCAGATGACTAATAAAAAATGTGCAAAATAAATATCATATACCTATATATACTTGTTAAAAAACAGTCAAAACTTTGTTTTCACAAAAAATTGTTACTGTGTGCTGTATATACTACAATATAGCCAGGACAACATGGCATAACAGGTCATTAATAACTTTGGTCTGTAGTATATATACTACTTACTATATATACCGCAAACATGTTTGTAGCATAACAATTTCTTTTGAAACATTGGCTAGAGAAATACCTTCAAGGCATTAAACTCTAAGATTATTTACTTGTTCTCACTGAAACAAACTGGTATCAAAGCTCGTTTTTAATTCCTCCCAAATCTGAATTTTTTCATACCAACTTCTGGTATGAATAACTTCCAGTATGAAATTAGTAACTTTTTTTTCACTGAAAGGCTCTTTTTACTGAATAATTTTCTATCTTTAGTTAGGAAGACTGAAGAGCTGATGCTGGATGCTGGATCAGTGAGAAAGCTTATTCTTCTTAAATTATTAGTAAGAAAATTATTTTACTCAGTGGTATGAAGCAAGGTGAGGTAAAAGGATTGAAGTTAGCTATTCAATAAGAGATTTAGCCATCCTCAAGAAAGCCTGGGAGACCCTGTAGCTTGAATTCAAAGCAACAACATAAAAACCTGTATTCACTTGCTGCCTCATTGCACTAATCCGTCATAAAGGAATCTGATCTCATCTGATTAACACCTTCAGAAAATACTGAGATATACAGTAGGATCATCATGAGAGATCACCCATCAACTGCATTGCATTAAATGACCATGTGTTTACTCCCAGCACTTGCGTGTTGCCAATATGCCTCAATTTAAAGCAGATAGAAGTGAACAGGAAAATGTATGCAAGTAATTTTGAACGGTAGCTCTTATAATGGTAATTGGTTCCATTTCTGATCATTTGACCACACAGTTGTGAACAACCTTTTTAAAGCAGTCATGTCACCACAGCTGCAACCTGTCCTCTACATAATAGCTCCCTATTACAGAGCGCTCACACTTAAAATGAATGATCAGTATCTTCTTCACTTGTCCCAAGGGATGCCAACCATGTCAAATAAAAATGCTCTGCTTACAGGGATAAAAATGGTTGTCAGAAAAAAGATTTTGCATGTGTTAGGAAGCACAGAACTCCTAAAGACCGTATAGCCCTTACTGTATGGAAATGATAGCTTGTTCAGAAAATATATTTGTACGTTTGGATATAAATCAGAATGATATGGTCATATCTGATAAGAATGATGTAGCATTTCATTGCTTATTAATGGTGAAGAAAGTTTCACAGCATTTACTAGCTATGAACCTTTTAAAATCAGCAGAGGTTGAAAAGCTTCTGAGTTACTTCCCCCTCACATGGGCCATTTTAAACGTCTCCCCTTCTAGTTCATTGACCCTGCATCCCATCCTGAGGCACTGAGACAAAGCATCAGCATTAGGTTCCTCACCAGACCTAGGTCCCTGGCCATTTGGGTCACAAGTACTTGGCAGTCAGATATCTATGGATGTTATTGAACCTGTGTTGGCCACAGAGGCGAATCTGCAAAGCACGTGTCCCTCCTCCTAAGCATCCCTACTGTTTATATTTTCCACACAGGTGATACTGGGTAACTTATATAATATTAACATCAGCTCCAAATTTTATTTTTACCTTAAACACGAGATTTGGAGGAGGAGGTTTTGGTTGTTATTTTTACTAGGTTGCCAAAAAAAAAAAAAAAAAGGAGCAGGCAATTGTGTTTCAAAACACTGAGGTATTAATCCCATTTACTTAAGCATGGGTCTTTTTATCTGTCTTCTTTCTATTATATTCAAATTTTCATATTAAGAGTAAACACCAAAATGAAATGGAGCATAATCTCTAGCTAGTAATTTCATATAAGACCCCCCCAAAAGCCAAAGTTCTGCATAAAAAACACAAAAGAACTAACGAAGTCAATTGCAAAAATAAATCTTATCCACCAGTTAGCAACGCCCCAACAGCAGCTCCCACACAGACCTCAAACAATTTGCAAAATGGAAGCAGCAGGCAGTAAATGAAGCATCTGGGTCAGCTGGTGAACTACCAAAGGCTGCAGACATTGGGGGTTCAATCATTCACTGAAATGCCTGTTGGAGGGGTCCCAACGCACTACCTGAGGCCGAGCTGCCTGCAGCTTTGAAACGTGTTAACCTGTGGAACAGCCAGCGTAAATAGCGGTAGTTGGTTTCCACCTCCGACTTAGAGGTGAAGTCTTCACTAGTAAAAATTTTGGTGCTATTCTTGGGCAAGGTAGAAGGTGAAAATGAAGTAATTACATTTAAATCAAAAATATTTGTTCATTAAAATTTTGCTTCAGTTAATTAATGTTCAATTTTTTTTTCAGCCGTATTCTGCATTTTTCTCTTTTTCTATTATTTCATTTTCTAGGCATTTATTTTAAAATAAATAAAATTAATAAAATTAAAAAATTAATAAAATTAAAGTCTCATTAAAACTTATGGGTAAAGTATAAAAATGTCCTTCCATCTTACTGACACAAACAAACATTGTAATTTCTGAGGGCAATATTTCACTTAAACTTCACAAAATTCATAAGCAATGTGAAAACTCATTTGAATAGTTTATTACATCCTTGATAAAACTCTTAGGTTCTACTGCTTTCATCCCTGTCATGCAACGCCAGTATTCACTGCTGTAATAAATTAGGCCTTATAAACAACAAAACATCATAAAATATTTTCAAGAGATGCTGTAAATAGGAAACAAAAAGGAAATTATCTAGTGCAAGCTTTCTGAGTGTAAACCCCTTGACACATGTTGAAACCAGCCAGTTAATAATTGCTTTGTAAATTGTTGTAAATCTGAAATGAAGCAGAGAGGATAAAACTAACAAACAAGTCGTAAAGTACAATTGTTACTTGTTTGGAGTGATTATTGCCGCTGCCAACCAAGTTCAAAATCTTGTAACAAAGAACCTGTTTTCATACTTCCTCCAGAGTAGCTATGAAACTTGTGCTGGAAAATACGTATAATCCTTATCAATAAATAATGTGTGACACAAAATATATGCTTGTGCAGCTGTTGAATATTTAAAATAGTAACATGCCACAAATTTTAACACTGCTCTCTTCACGCACCGCTCTCTCTCCCTCTTCACCCAGAACAGGTTTTCTCAGGCTGGACAGAATATGCAACGGATGTTAAAAATTCGGGGGGCATAGGAAGAGGTACCACCATCACTGCTTCATGCTGTAACACAGTAGCTCCTTCCCAGAATGAAGAGGACATACAAAGCCAACTTTAAACAGGAATCTTTTATCGAAATAAATCAAAGTTCGGCCAAGTCATGAACAACTGGAAATAGGGTTATCCAAAGGACAGACCCTGGCAACATTTGTAACTGTCCCTGTTACCATTTTTAGCTATAACACTCCTGATTTTTCAAGAACATGTAACTTAACTGTAAATTTTTGTTCAGCGTTACAGCTTGGCAGTTCCTCACCATTAACTCGCAGCCAAAATGTCATTCCACGTTATGCTGCCAGCATTACAACACTGACCTAATTTGTCATTGAACATTGTGTGTTCAACTCAGTCTCAGAAATCATGAAAAAAATGCTTTCTTGTCTCATGGTTATCTCCCAGCATTTAAAATAGTATTTTATTATCTGTGTTTCCAAACTGAAAGTATAGTAAGGGGATGGAAAGGGAGAATCAGAAAGATAGTCAACTTGTTTAAGATGTAGCTTATTTAAGGGCACTCGCTTGGTGCCAGTAAACTTTGTTATTGAAAACTAATATCCATCTGTTTTAATCATTTTTAGTTACTTATTTTGTATTCTTAAAAATAACTCGTTGCCCTAAAAAATTTGAACATTTTAAATACTGTACTTAAATATTGTACATGTAATGTATTCTTCTTTCCTTCTGCCGAGAAGCCTCAACCAAATAAAACATTCAAGTTCTACCATGCAAATATGGATATGTCTCATCTGAACATCTCTTATCTTGGCTTCATATTACTCATAATAAAAAGGCATTAATTGAATCCTTCCGTTATTATTGAGAGATATGAAGTTATTTTACTTCGTTTTTTAATCATAAATAGAAACAATTTTTTTCAAGGAATGCGCGTTCTGCACATTTTTAGAGTTCTAAATAGTCTCAGGATAGACCTCAGATGATAACTCATGTAACTCTACTACTACACAGAGCAACCTTTACTTAGTATTTAGCATGCATATGTTTAAATTCTAGGGCAAATTTTAAGTATGAAAATATCATGGAATATGGTATAAATGTGAAGAAAATCAATGCCAGAGAGTTTGATGGAAAATCAATTGACAAAAAGGTAAATATTTCAGAAAGTGATATATTTCATATAAATCGAACTGAAAAGGTTCACAGCTTTAGAATATGCTCCTGCAGTCTCCTAGCTGATGGAGGATTGCTAAATTGTGGTCTGAGTCATGATGAGCTGTCTGAACAGAAATATCTGAGGAATGTTTTCCTCATGATGTTTGCTCCACAAGAAATTCATTAACTTCATTAGCAAGGTATTTAGATAAATCATTACATACACAAAAATGTTTTTACAGACTTAAATATTCAAAAATCTTGAGACTGTACTCACATACTAATGACTAATGTCTGCAACCAGAAAAAAATGTAATCCATCCTACCCTCCAAAAACCAAGAAAGGAAAGCGAAAAACAATGACAAATGGAAATAATAAAACATCTAGAAAATATATAAAGGGACCAACTGTGACAATTAATGGTCTATTTGGCATCTCCCTGAGATGAAAGAATGAAAGATGAATGTTTAGCAAACTTTTATTTTTAATTTCTTGAGCTAAAGGTGCTTAAATAAGGCACGGATTCAGTGCAGCAAAACCATAACCAGTCACAGAATAAAGCTATCAGTCACTTACAGGAACGAGGAATTTTTTTATTTCTTCCAAGGCATGACTCATACGAGAATACGCCTCCCCAGGTGGAGCAAACACTTCAATTAATACGTGAAGCTCATCACTCAAGTGCGCGTATTTGGCTTCTCCACTTTTCCTTAGTTCTTCCTCCTATGAAAAAAGAGTTGGGTTTTTTTTTTAGAACTGGGAATCTACTAATTTTGCACTGATTTAGCATTTACAGAGAACATGACAAAAGGACATAATATAAGCAGACTTCTAAACCCCTTGAGAAATAAAAGTCTACTACAAGCCACTTAAAGAGTTAAGAATCAGTTTTGAGTGTTTGAATGATAAAACCAGCATAATCATAATCTACAACAGAGTTTAATCAGCACAGTGAAAAATTGCTAAATACTTCAGAGCAGAGCACTGAAATATTAAATCCATAATGCAAAAGTTGCATTAATCTGTCTGATTCATAGCTGTTCACAAAAAACCCCAAAATAAAGATCCACTTAACCATTCTGGAGCAATTTTACAAATGCTATCATTCATTAAAGTCTTTAACTTATTTGATGGTTATCTGTAGGCTGCACATTTTAGTGTCACCAAAGGGAAGTATGCCCTAGTCATTCTGAGTCATGAGGTCTGAGTTTCAGTCCCAGTTCTGAAATACGGCACCTATGCAATCTAGTGTACACTGGTTAAAATGGTGATTCACCTCACCTACGTTTATCTTGACAATCTTTGGGTCCCAGTTTTCCATCTATAAAATAAGCCTAATAATCCTACTTTACATTAGAGTAATGTTCTGAAATGTCAGTCCACTTTCTTACATAATGGTTTTAAGATTTTGAACGTAAATTGCAATACACATTCATGGTAGTTACCTCTGCATAAAAAGGAAAAATATAAAATAAAGATCATGTTAATGGCATTGGCTATGACATTATGACAAGTAATGAAAAATTTATGTCATCACTACACAAGACAGTAGTAAGTAATGCTGAAGAAATGATGAGTTGGAAACTCAGTCTTCAAAAATATTTGGAGAAATGTAATTGTGAAGAAAATATGTATGTATATCCTCATTTTATTGATGAAAAACATAATCACAGGAAAAGAGGTAATTTACTTAAAATTTGCTATGAATTTATAGCTTCTTTACTATTCCCAGTACATTCCCAGTACTTCCCAGTACTGTTTAATATCTTCATAAATGACATAGTGGGATTGAGTGCACCCTCAGCAAGTTTGCAGACAACACCAAGCTCAGCGGTGCAGTTGAAACACCTGAGGGATGGGATGCCATCCAGAGGGACATGAACAAGCTCCAGGCATGGGCCCATCTGAACCTCATGAGGTTCAACACGGCCAAGTGCCAAGTGCAGGGTCCTGCACCTGGGTGGGGTCAACCTCTGGTATCAATACAGGCTGGGGGATGAAGGGATCGAAAGCAGCCCTGCTGAGAAGGACTTGGGGGTGCTGGTGGATGAAAAGCTGGACATGAGCTGGCCATGTGCACTCACAGCCCAGAAGGCCAACAGTCTCCTGGCCTGCATAACAAGCAGCGTGGCCAGCAGGTTGAGGGAGGGGATTCAGCCCCTCTACTCTGCTCTGGTGAGACCCCACCTGGAGTCCTGTGTCCAGCTCTGGAGCCCTCAGCACAGGAAAGACATGGACCTGTTGGAGAGGGTCCAGAGGAGGCCACAAAAATGATCAGAGGGATGGAACACCTCTCCTATGGGGACAGGCTGAGAGAGTTGAGGTTGTTCAGCCTGGAGAAGAGAAGGCTCCAGGGAGACCTTATGGCAGCCTTTCAGGTCTTAAAGGGGACTGAGAAGAAAGATGGGGATGGACTTTTTAGCAGGGCCTGTTGCAATAGGACAAGGGGTAATGGTTTTAAACTAAAAGAGGGTAGATTTAAACTGGATCTGAGGAAGAAATTTTTCACAATGTGTCTGGTGAAGCACTGGCACAGGTTGTCCAGAGAGGTGGTAGATGTCCCATTCCTGGAAACATTCCAGATCAGGTTGGATGGGGCTGTGAGCAGCCTGAACTAGTTGAAGATGTCCCTGCTCATTGCAGGGGGATTGGACTAGATGACCTTAAAAGATCCCTTCAAGCCCAAAGATTCCATGATTCTATGATTTTCTATACTAAAATAATACTTCATGAACTTTTAGATCTCTAAGATATAAAAATTGTAACAATAGATTGCTGTTGTTATTTACTTGGCTTATTTAGCTTATTTAATTATGCATTAGCTTCACTTATTTTAGCCTTGTCTAGTCTAAACCACTGCTTGACACCAAAAATATTTGCACGATGCTATGTTTCAAATAATACGCTACTACAGCATACAATTCTTTTTATTTACAGTAGAAAATCCAGCCCCAAGAACTTTCTGATTTTTCACAGAATACACAATGGTTACATCCTTTAGCTCCAGAGCCTTAGACCTAACTCCATGGTAAGTCAACGTTTTGCAGATGATGACAAAGTCATCACTCACTAAATGTAGCCCATGATTTTATTTTAATAAGTTGGAAATACATATAATTGTTTTCAACAGAAAAGTAAAAATGAAGATAAGCAGCACAGATGGTAGAAGCTTTTTATCTTACTTTACAGTTAAAATATCTTTGGCATTTTAGTTTATCACTGAGATCTCATCGAAATGTCCATAAGAACCAGACCATAATATAACAGTCTATTATGAGATCTTACAGTACTTTTCAGTCTTCTGGAAAAAAAAAAAAAAGATTACAGCTTTTGGAATAATTTGATATGAGGTATTTCAACAGAATTAAATTTTAATAGTTATAAAGTGACATCCCAGTAATTGTTGAAAGTTTCTTTCATATTGCTTTAAGATTCTGAAAAGAAACACCAACCCCCCCCCAAACTTGTCTTTCAGAAGAAGACTACCAACAAACTTTGTAAAAAACATAAATTAGATTTTTTTTCAAATTTAGAAAAAGGCAAAAATAATATTTGACTTATCATTTTGATGAGGATTTTGCACAGATAAGACATGATTTTATAACGCAGACCTGTCTTACAGAAAGTTAGGTATATGCTTGCATGGTTTTAACAATGGCAACAATATTTCTCTTGTATTTTCTCAAGAAATTCAGGAATTTTTTAAACACATCATTTTATAACTTTCTTCCTAGGTTCAGCACATGCTTTCTGTCACTACTCAGCAGTCATTTTTACAGCTGTTAGAAACAGCAGGCTAGGGCCATGAGATCCTCAACATCTCTTTCTGAAGATACCTAATGATGGGGTTTTTTTTGGTGGAATGCATGAGGTTAGAGACTGATTTTTCACACAGTACTTCTTCCTCCAACAGGGTAAAACAGCAGAAAATGCTTCTTTTATTGCAAATGTGTGTGTTGACAGGGAGAAACTTAAATCACTTCAGGAAAAATATGGATGACTAGAAACTCATAGACCATGGGAACACTGTACCGAGCTTTGCTTCCCAAAGCCAGTGAACATGACTGAGTATTTTAGGACTGAATGCAGCTTTCCATTCGGTCGTACGTCAGGTATCAGGCATCTAACAAGTAAACCAACAGACATAACACACGCTGTTGAGGAGACACTGGGCTACGTGGGCATTTACACCTACTGGCAGGTAATAGAGCTTTGCAAGCGCAATATGGCTGAATGGGCTCGCCCAGGAGCACGTGTCGTGGTTTAGCCCCAGCCAGCAACCAAGCTCCACGCAGCTGCTCGTTCACTCCCCCACAGTGGAACAGGGGAGAAAATCAGAAGACTAAAAGTGAGAAAACCGGTGGATTGAGATAAGGACAGTTTAACAGGTAAAGCAAAAGCTGCACACGCAAGCAAAGCAACACAAGGAATCCATTCCCCACTCCCCATGGGCAGGCAGGTGTTCAGCCATCTCCAGGGAAGCAGGGCTCCATCACGCGTAAGGGTTACTTGGGAAGACAGACGCCATCACTCCGAATGTCCCCCACTTCCTCCTTCCCCCAGCTTTATATACTGAGCATGACGTGATATGGTATGGAATACCCCTTTGGCCAGCCTGGGTCAGCTGTCCCGGCTGTGTCCCCTCCCAGCTCCCCGTGCACCCCCAGCCTGCTCGCTGCAGCCCAGCACGAGGAGCTGGACTGTCCTTGACTGCTCAGCAACAGCTGAAAACATCAGCACGTTATCAATATTATTTTCATCCCAAATCCAAAACACAGCCTCACACTAGCTTCCCAGCTGAAACCAGAACAACATGAAGTTGGACAACACCTTTGTAAATCTTCATTAGCAAGCAGCACAGCTGAACTGCACAGTAAAATGGTCAGTTCTGTGGACCGAACATCCACACTAATTATAATTAACATGACAAGCACTACTTCTTCTCCAGCACTTCAGTGGGTTTTGCTTCCTGCTAGTTGTAGCCTGGTTGCACAAACTGAGTTCCCAGTAGAAGTCAGAGAGCCTCCTGGAGCCCAACTTTGGTTTAGTTTTGTACAAGAGTCCAGTTCATGCCCCGTGACCTCTGCTTACTATAAGTAATAGCCTAGTCATTGGGAATGATCAGGAGGGTCTCTAAACCATGCTTCTGACTGAAACTAAACCACCAATGAATAAATATCCCATGTAGTACAGATAAGGACCTCGAAGGTAGGAGGGCTCTGCAGAGGGATCTGGGCAGGCTGGATCGATGGGCAGAGGTCAGTTGTATGAGGTTTAATAAGGTTAAGTTCCTGGTCCTGCACTTTGGTCACAAGAACACCACGCAACACCACACTTGGGGAGGAGTGGCTGGAGAGTTGCCCGGAGCAAGAGGACCTGGGGGTGCTGGTTGACATCCGGCTGAACATGAGCCAGCAGTGTGCCCAGGTGGCCAGGAAGGCCAACAGCATCCTGGCCTGTATCAGAAACAGTGTGACCAGCAGCAGTAGGGAAGTGATCATGACCCTGGACTTGGCACTGGTGAGACTGCATCTTGAATCCTGTGTTCAGTTTTGGGCCCCTCACTACAAGAAGGATATTGAGGTGCTGGAGTGTGTCCAGAGAAGGGCAACGAAGCTGGTGAGGGGGCTGGAGCACAAGTCTTCTGAGGAGCGGCTGAGGGCACTGGGGTTGTTTAGTCTGGAGAAGAGGAGGCTGAGGGGAGACCTTCTCGCTCTCTACAA